TTCGTCATCTTCTCTGTTGATTAAAACACTGCTTTGACGTATTCAGTTTTGTACATAGTATCAAATGAGAAACGGAGAAAATATGTGTTTTTTATTTGAACTTTAAAAATGTTCTGTCAGAAATCCTCTAGTTTAAATTTAGGGAAGAGGAATTGAGCTCCTGAAAAAACAAAAAAAGCGTATTTTTTATTTTCATTTTAGTTTATTATGTGAAAAAAGTCTGAATTGTGACGGTGTCTTCTGGACGGATGAGTCCCGTGTAACGATGTTGGACCACGATGGACAGAAGCGTGTTAGCAAACGTAGCAGCTGTAGGGCACGGCGGTGGAGGCATGATGGTGTCCATGCTGGTATCTGAAATGCTGGTCATGGTTGGGTCAGAACGGGCGAGCGGTTCTGATCCGGTTCTGATGCGGTTCTGATCCTGTTCTGAAGCAGTTCTGATGCGGTTCTGATCCTGTTCTGATGCGGTTCTGATCCGGTTCTGATCCGGCTCTGATCCGGTTCTGATCCGGTTCTGATGCGGTTCTGATCCGGTTCTGATCCGGGTTTTGATCTGGTTCTGATGCGGTTCTGATCCGGTTCTGATCCGGGTTCTGATGCGGTTCTGATCCGGTTCTGATCCAGTTCTGATCCGGTTCTGATCCGGTTCTGATCCGGTTCTGATCCGGTTCTGATGCGGTTCTGATCCGGCTCTGATCCTGTTCTGATCCGGGTTTTGATCTGGTTCTGATCCGGTTCTGATGCGGTTCTGATCCGGTTCTGATCCGGGTTCTGATGCGGTTCTGATCCGGTTCTGATCCAGTTCTGATGCGGTTCTGATCCGGTTCTGATCCGTCTCTCCTCCTTTGTGTCTCCTCAGTCGTGAGCGTCGCCGCCTCCACCATGTCCATCGCCTGGATGGTGGTGGACTACCACCGCTCCCTGCGCTCCTTCCTGCCTGATAAAGCCAAGCAGCGCTGGGGCCCCTCGCTCATCTACTTCCTGTGGAACCTGCTGCTGATCGGCCCCCGCGTGGGGGCCCTGGCCCTCTTCTCCTCCGTCCTGCCCGTTCTCATCGCCCCTCACTTCCTGCTGCTGTGGCTGGTGTTCGTGGTGTGGGTGTGGAAGCAGAGCACCGCCTTCATGGACAGCGCCGGCGGGGAGTGGCTGTACCGGGCCACCGTGGGCCTCATCTGGTACTTCAGCTGGTTTAACGTGGCCGAGGGCCGCACGCTGGGCCGCAGCCTCATCTACCACTCCTTCATCGCTGTGGATGTGGTCATCCTGCTGGCCACCTGGTGGAGCTACAGAGACCCGGTGCAGAGCCGGGCGTACGGCCTCATCCTCATCATCAGCCTTCCTCTCGCCTACCTGCTGGGTCTCCTCTTCAAAGTCCTTTACTATCGCTGCTTCCACCCCAAACTGTTCAGGCCCCCGGACAGGGAGCCCAGGCTGCCCCACGACCTGCCCGACGCCGACGTCACCTTCAGGAGCCTCTCCGTCCAGGACGTGGAGCCGGTCCCCCTGCTGCTCAACCGGCGCATGGCGAGCCAAGCTGCTCGTTTCTACCCCGCCAGGCGAACCGTCGAGACCTCTGATGTCACCAGCTGAGCTGCAGAGATCCTCCATCTTCCTGTTTGTGGTCCGTCTGCAGAGACCTGCTGCAGCAGCACAGACAGACGGGAAGAAGCTCTTCATGGACAAAAGCTAAAAAACTGTTCGAGTTCCATCGTTTCATTTAAAAAAAATAATAATAATTTTTTTTCCTAAATATTCCCTCAGATTGATCCTAATCTGTTCCCAGGCTTATATTTTTACTAAATCAAAAGAAAAAAAAAAAACAGTTTCGGCAGTAATGAGGTTAGCATCAGCGTTAGCATCAAACTCAGAGGGAATCAGTTCATGGAAAACCTGCTTCCTTTATCGTCCTGCTAGATTTCAGGTCAATAAATCGAACCGGAACACGAATTTAAATCCCAGAATCCATAAAGGTTTAATTCCTCCTTCAGTTCCTCTATTGAACACTAGATGGAGACAAACAGAAACAAACCTTCCTATAACTGGCAGAGAACCAGTTTGCTCCCAGATAGGAAGCTAGACTGGGACGGACTCCTGTGCTGCGCTCTGATTGGCTGTTCTGGACATTTCTGACCAGGAAGTCGGTCCAAAGAAGCTCCAGAATCCTCCAACAGAGACAAGAACAGAACTTTAATCTGGGAGATGAGTTACGGGGATGTTCCCCTATAGATATAAATGGTGTTACTGGTTTCTGTCCACAGCAGCCGGTCGGAAACGTCCAACATCTACCTCAGGTGGACCGTCCGCCTCCGGATGACATCCTGCAGACACACACCTGGACCTGCCTCTATAACCTCAGTATCATCCTGACCCATTTCCACCTGGTTCTGACTGACAGGCGATTTTTCCCTCTGGTTACCATAGAGACGGGATCTAGCCATATTAAGCAGGAGGAGATGATGATTCAAGACTTTTATGGGATGTGAGGATTGACTCTGTTTAAATGTTTGGATGTATA